ATAGAATCAAACAGTACATATATGTAGTTGACTTATTTTTCCCAACATAATGTTTGGGATTCTTATGTCATGACATGTATTGAGTTTGCTTCTTTTTATGGCTATCAATTTGTTCATGGTATTATTTGCCATAAAATGTTTTTTAAATTTTTATATGCCCCTACCATTATAGCTTCTGAATTTCTTCTCTTGATTTAAAATAGCTCTTGGACTATACATAGTAATATAAATATTGTTATAAAATTGTTATTATGTATTTTATACATTTAAGCCTTTAATTCATTTGAAAATTATTTTAGAAAATAATGAGAATGGGGATCCAACTTTTTCTCAGATGTCTCAGTGTTGCAGCATCATTATCTATTATCTGAAGTCATCTTTTTCTCACTATGCTAAAAATTACCAAGATATGGATATTTATCCAGATCATTGACAGTCATGTATGTAAGTATTCTTAACTGACAATACTTATCTCATGCCCATATTCTCAAAGATATGTAAGAGAGATGAAATTACTCTTCTGCTTTTAAAACTCATCCATGGCCTTGACTGAAGATCACATGTGCCCCCTGTAAACCTCTCTGGCACTAAGACAACTCACTACCTCACTCCTGCATGGCCCTCTCACTGGCCTTCTTCCAGTTACTCATACTCCAATCTTTCCTGTCTGCTTTTCACAGGCAGCTTCAACTGCTTGGGAAGTTTAGCTTATTTGCTCTTCTCCCACCTACCCAAGCCTAATCTTCTCCTGCTCTTCCCTCAGGCTGTATAAACATTCTTTCTTCAGGGAGCTTTCCCTAGCGGTACAGAGTGGGCTGCCCGACTTCCTGAACCCCCATGTGTTTCCTCCAAATCTCTCCTATAGTTCTCCCTTGCAGCGCTGAGCACATTCAGAATGAGTAACTACTTGCTTCATGTTATCTTCCCCAATCTACTACTGCAAGTTCCACCAAGGCGGGGATCATGTCTCTTCTGTTCAGCACCATACCCCTCTATACCTCATTAACCAACCCAAGAAGTACTAATCATGAAGAAATCAGGAAGGAAAATGAGCACAGCATAAGCATCACAGAATAGCAACAGGAAAGTCACAGAAGAAACATGAAAAGTCACATAAAGCATAAAGATAGTCAGTGCACTACTAAGTTACGAAATAAAAAATAAAACCTAAAGTATTTTTCTCCTAAGAGATTGTCAAAAAAAGAAAAAGAAAAAAACACATGATTGTTGGTCAAAATAAATTGGTACAACCTTTTGGAAGGCAACACCGTAATATCTTTGACTAAGTAATCCCACATCCAGGAATTTATTCTGTAGGAACGTCTGAACAAACAAGCAAAGATGTATGTACACAGCTTCCCTGCAGCACTGTTTCTAATAGAAAAATAAAAGAAATAATGCAAATAGCCACAATCTGGTTTTAAGTAAATAAATTATCATTCAGCCCCACAGTATTATACTGATATAAGAAGATATCCTATAAGGAGAAGATAATCCAAGATACATTAAGTTTAATAAAACAAATTGCAGTTCTCACCCTAGCTTGTGTGGCTCAGTGGATTGAGTACCAACCTGTGAACCAAAAGGTCACTGGTTCGATTCCCAGTCAGGGCCAGATCCCCCATTTGGGGGCATGCAAGAAGCAACCACATGTTGATGTTTCTCTCCCTCTCTCCTTCCCTTCCAGTCTCTAAAAATAAATAAAATCTTTAAAAAAAATAGTTGCAATTCTGTAAAAATACTATTCATAATTTTCTCACAAGGAAAAGCTTAAAACCTAAATTACTATAGATTCATATATGTATTTAGAAAACTCTAAAAGAAATATAACCAACAGTGGTTATCTCTGGGAATTGACAATTCTTTTCCAATTTACTCATTTTGACAATGTTTAATTAATTATGGCAATATATTACTTTTGTAACTAGGGAAAATGTGTTTCGAGTGTCATGTAAGCTGAAACCTAATTTTATAAAGAATGTCAAAGGTTCTCAGTTTTTAAAAGTACGTGAAAAAACTTCAGAAGGATCTTCAAAGCTAACGACCAGTAAAAATGATGTTCAAGTTGATAAAATTACTGTACTACTCTCTACAAACATACTGTACCCCTGGATAAATAGAATCTCAAGGAAACAAACTTGAAATATTAGATCAAGATTGTTTACTCCAGAGCCAAATGCTTAACACTGTACTCCTTTGACAGACATTCCTTAGGTCAATATTTATGAACTAAATAGTTCCAGTACTATACAACACACAAAATAATAAACATTTTCATGCAGTCAACTTGAAATTCCTGACGGTGTGATAATTCAGGGTTCTGAGTACATATCTCATTCTACAGACAAGGAGGACAACACTTAAAAATACTTTTCATTCTGATAGTCAAAATCTAAGTGAGGCAGGAGATAGTCAGGAAGGAAGCTCCAGAGGCCCTGCAGGGCTGAGGTAGAAAACATCTATACATGACAAAGACCCCCTAAGATGGGTTGTTCCTGTTTTCTGGGATAACTCCAATCATGGAATGCGCCTGCACGCTACCCCTGATGCATTATATTATCATTATAATGAAATAACATTGTGGGACTCCCTTCTCCAGTAGCCAATCAAGAAAATCATGGGAAACCACACATGCGCAGTAGCTTTGAAATCCAACTCCTTGTACCTGCGCAGGAAAAGCCCGCCAAAGACTAGCAGGGGGGCTTCTGCCCCTATAAGAATAGAATCCCTCAGCCCACGTGCCCCTTCTCTGCTCAAAGTTGGCCCACTCCCGTGTCCTGTGGAGTATGCTATCACTTAATAAATCTTCCCTCTTTCTTTATGCTATAAACTTTGTGTGTTCGGTTCAATTCTTTGTCCTCGATCACTAAGAACCTGGTTACCTGTGCACACCTGTGACATAAGTACTTAGAAAACAAAGCTTACTCTCCAAGTAAATTTTCCATGCATCTTAAAAGATGGGAAATTAAGTTAATATTATTTAACAATTTTTATACTAGGCACTGCCATGTACCACTTGGTGCCTTCTAACAACAGAAACTACGACAAGCCACACAAAGAGCTCTGAGAAGAATTGACATTTCAACTAGGGATCGGGAGATCAATTTAGTTTTGACTTCAAACTTTTTCCTACTTTGTTTCTATGGTGCTTTGAATTCCTGAAACAAAGGAACAAGTTATATCAATTTAAACAGGTAATAAAATATACCCAACAGCACTCACATAGTCTGTGTATAGAGTTTAAATTGCAATTTTTCTGGAGAACAATCACACTCTACAATCAAAGAACTTTAACCCTGTGCATGCTATTTTCCATGGCAATTCCAATTCTAGAAACTGAAATTCAAAGAAAAATCAGATATGTTCAGAAGGTATACCCAGGGTAGGGCAAAAAATGGGTTCACAGTGACTTTATTCTCTCATTATTTATTAATTATTGTATTATTTTCCATACAAACAACAGTAAATCTACTTTTGCCCCACCCTGTATTATCCTCATTGCACTTTTCTATTATGGGAAAAACCTAATCTTCTTACAACATGGGATTAGTTAAATATTGTGTGAAGTGATATGACTATATGAACAATGACTATCTAAAGAAAAAAGTCCACTTTTTCTTAGCCCACTAAAAGTAAGCACACAAGAAAGCCAGGACTGTTTTGTTTTACTCACTGCTTTATTCCTATCACTTCAGGACAATACCTGGCACATAGCAGACACTCGAAACCTACAAAGTGAATGACTTTGAGTAATTAAAGTATATACAGAAAAGATTTTAGCTAGAAATATAGTATAGTAGCAGAATCACATAACACGTCTATTTTAGTGGAATTCAACTGTCCAGAATGAGCTAACAAAAAGATGAAATAATGTAAATTATGTAGCCTGGCACACTTTGCAGTGAGAGTGAAAGGAAAAGCTTTACCTGCTGTTCCCTCAGGTCTCAGATCCCTGTGACTCTCACAGGGTGAACACAACACTAGCCAAGTATGATTTGAGTATTTAAAGAAGAATTTTAAAAACACAGTAAGCCCTTTAACTATAAACTGACTACTTGCTCTGGTGCTCCATCTCAGAAACAGTAAGTTACTCTACAGATGGGCTTTTTAAAAGGATTTCCAAGGGTAACTGTGACATACAGAAATGTTACCTTAAAAGATTAACTTCAGCAACCAACTTTTCCACTTCCAAATTAAATGTGAATCTACATTATGCCATATGAATAGTCACAGATACATCTTGGATATGAACATGCCATTTCCTTTTTCTTTTAAATCCTACCCCCCAGGATGTTTTTAACTGAATATAAGGGAGACAGAGTGGGGGATAGGATAGGGGAGGGGGAGGGGGAGGGGGAGGGGGGGAGGGGAGGAGGGGAGGGGGGAGGGGAGGGGAGGGGAGGGGGGGAGGGGGGGAGGGGAGGGGGAGGGGGGAGGGGAGGGGTTGCCTACAGTAGGCCTCTGACCAGGAATCAAACCTAAAACCTAGGTATGTGCCCTGACTGGGGATCAAACCTGCAATCTTCTGGTTTGATCCCCAGAACAGGGCAATACTCCCACTAACTGAGCCTCCTGGCAGGGGCCAGTTACCTTTACATTTATTTTATTTTCTAGTATCTCTACAATTAGCAAATGTTGCTTTTAGAATAAGAAAAAAGCTCTAATTTTTTATTAGTCCACAGTAGTGTTTTTACATCTCTCACAGAAATGCTAGATCTGGTATCAGTATTCCTCCAGGTGACCTTTAAAACAATACCACTCCTATAGTATATTATCACTTATAAGTTTTTAAAAAGTAGCAATTGTTTATTTTATCCTATTGTCCTATTTATGCTATTTTAAACAACTTCTTAATATGTAACTCAAGCTATATATATTTTCAACAATAAGACAATTTTCTATTCCTATTAAGATTCACTTAAATTTCTATGAATAGATAAAAATGTAAATTCTTTATTTACAGACATGAAAGTAGTTTTTAAAAATCCAAAATAAGGTACCTGAACATCATAGAGAGCTACAATATTTTCATGTTGAAGTTCCTGTTAAGAAAATTAAGAATTCAAAATATTTGTATTTATTCTAATAATGTGAATATATTTCAATATGCAAATAAAAACTAATTTAAGTACATACACGCATATATTATACTATTTCTAATATACTACAGTTCTGTTACTAGAATAGAAAATTCAATATACTTAATAAGAAATGTGTATGATCAAAATTTACTTGGGGCCTAAATATTTTTTGGGGACTATCCTTTTTTTAGACTGTTAACAAGGTACTTACCAAAACACTCTCATCTACAAAATAAATGTTAAAGTATGACTACAGATTTTCTGCTAGTCTTTTACGTTTAATTTACAATTTCTAACAGCAATAGAGGCATAAAATTCCAAAGTCCTTCTTAAAACACATTATTTGCCTGAAAGAAAACAAAGTATAATTCTTTGCTCGAAGCGCCATCTACAGAATTGCAGCGCTGATGAACCCTGGTGTTAGATGTTGGTTCCATGTTCACATTAGTTTAGGATACACTGGGTTAATACACTTAAACCTGGTTCTTCATTGTATAATTTTCAGACTTTCTTTAATGAGCCAAGTGCATTGAGGCTCTCCAAGAAATATTTAGTAAACAGAACTTATTTGACCACAGGACTCTTTTTTTCCTCAAAGTCTCTCACTTGGATAACAATGCTTGTGAGTAATCTAAAATGACCACTTCCAAGGAAAATAACTTTCTTCAATTTACAAGGAAAATAAGATCCTGAGTTCACCCAGTTCTCCATAAACTTAACTGTACTGCAAAAGGGTGCAAGAGAAGAGGTAAATAATGTAGAAGGGGGCCTGCCTCCTCCCAAACAATAACACAATAGGGGAAAGAGGAAAAGAAATTATGAAAAACTAAAATGAGTTTTCACAGAATCCTTCTAAGCATTTGATAAGAGCCCCAAACGCTTATTTTTAAAAATAGCTTCTCAGTCAATACTCAATATTTTAGAAAACGGAGCATACAAAAATAAGAGCAAGAGGGGAAAACTCTCAAACTTGGTTCCAACTACCAAAATTACAAAGTATGTCATCATGTGTTCATTTAATTTAAAATAAGTTTTAATCCAGTATGAAATACCACATACCTTTAAGATTTTAATTTCCTTCCCAAGTAGTATTTGTGATTTTGACAAGTTCTTTTTATTAATACTTTTAATAGCTACCTCCCAATCAGTTTTCTGAAAAGGAAAAATAATGTTACTCCTGGAAATTACTTCACAGAAACAATTCAACAGGAAAAAAATCTATAAGCTTAAAGATGTTTTAACAAATGGGGGGGCGGGGTTAAAGATCCTTAATCTCCACCCACTAGAAAATGACTTCATTCATTACAGTTGTAACAGCTAATGTCCTACAAGTCAGTCACTAAAAAATACTAAGACCATATAGTAACTAGCATTAAATGAAAAATGAACAGATTACAACTATTGAAGTTATGGAGAAATGCGGATAACGAACTGGAAGGTAGTACCGTTAACTTGAAAACAGTATTTGATAGCTTTGCAGGATTAATCCGCGTTTTAACTATCTTTTCTTGAGCTTTAAGTTATTTTCATAACAAATGAAAAGCACTATTTATTACTTTATCAGATAAGCGATAAAGCCAGCCCCTTGGCAACAATCAGAACTACCCAACCCTGTATGATTATCTTCACTCCCGGGGTGACTTTCCAAATTCTTTAGATTCTAAAATCTCCTATGACCCTATTGTCGAAAAAAGGAAGGAAGGAAGGAAGGAAGGAAGGGAGGAAGGGAGGAAGGGAGGAAGGGAGGAAGGGAGGGAAAGAGAGAGAAGAGAAAAGAAAAGAAAAGAAAAGAAAAGAAAAAAAAAAGAGAAAAGAAAAAAGAAAAGGCTGAACCTGCTTTCATGTTGATTAGGGTTGGGAAATGGGGCGTCCAAACATCTTTTCCACTCGGAACCAGCCTCTGTAACCCCAGGAAGTGAAGACAGTCCAGGGCCAGCAGGGTGCAGGGGAACCAATGCCAGAAAGTGGGATCCTCCCGAGTTTGAGAAAGCCTTGGGCTAACGGAAAAGCAGCTCGCTTCCAGCTGGGTCTGCAATTACCAACCTCAAACATGCCAAGTCCTGGCCGCTCAAGAAGGGGATTCAAATCCAAGGTCCGCCCACCCTGGAGCCCCAACCTATACAGGGAACCTTGCAGTCTTCTAGGATTCGGGTAAATTTAGGTGAAAGCTTCCCCTGGCAGTCTAAGGGGTGCGTCCCTCCGAGCGCTCGTTACCAGGCTTACCGACATGGAATGGAAATCAGAGCTCCAGCAGCCCGTCGGTAGGTGGAGCCTGTCTAGCGGCTTCGGCCCCAAACAACCTCCCAGACCAAAACAAACCACACGACACTGACAGCGCGCACAATGGCAGCACTGTCACTGGCAGGCGTCCGGCGGCGAGCCCAGGCAGGGGCCTCAACGCCCGCGACTTCGCCAAATTTCAGGACCACCTAGTCCAGCTGCGGCCGCGCGGGCGGAAGAAAGGACCTGCCGCCGAGGCACCGCGCGGCCTCAGACCCAGGCCTCGCCCTGGCCCGCGGGGCTCACCTGGCGGTGCCGCCCCCGGAAGACCACGGCGAACGCCCCATGTCCCACGAGGTCCCTCTTGCTGTACTCGAAGTCGCCCACCACTTCCATGGCCGCACCCCCAGGTCTCACAGCGAGTCAAGCCGGCAGTGCAGCACGGTGGCCGGAATTAGCACCGCGGGCCCGCCGACCGGGAGCGCGCCCGCGGGCCGGCGGACTGGGGCAGCCGCGGCCCCGGGCACTGGCGGACGCTCATGCCGAGGGGCCGGGGCGAAAACGGGGAGAGACTGCTACACAGGGCCGGGGTGAGCAATGCCTGGCCCGGCCCCGACCGCTCCTCATGGCCCGGCCCGCCGCGGGCCGCTCCCTGGCGAACGGCCTCGGCGCTACTCGGCCAGGGGCGCCGCTACCGTCACTGTGCACCTCCAGAGCCGCACGCGCGACCGGAAGAGGTACGGGATCCGGTCCTCCCCATCCCCAGCTCGCGGCCGCTTCGTCCCTCTCGGCTCAGAGCGCTGTTCCTTCAGTGGCCGCCGCCCTAGGACCAACACCGCTGCGTTCCCTGGCCTCACGGCGGCGCCCAACGCACGCGCGCCAGTCGCTCCCGCACCGACAGCCTGCCGGCCCTCCGCGACGTCAGCAAGCACTGTGGAACGGCACACGCGGAAAGCACGCTCCCTCCGCCAGGAAAAGGAGTGCGCGCACCCTTTAGGGCGCGGTCTCCCCGATGGTCCCCAGGCAGTTGCTGAGTCAGAGAATGGGAGTACTTGACGTTTGGCTACTCTGTTTACCCGCTGCAGCCTCCGCGAGAGCGTGGAAAGAGATTCGAGCCTGCCCGGCCTGGGCTAGACCGGCTGGGAGGCAGGTTGTAGAAGCAGGTCTTGAATTCTGGGTGTCAGAGGGACCAGAGAAGAGCTTGTGCAGTGTAGAGCCCAGAGATCCGGTGAGGGCAAAGGAGCATCTTCTAGATGCCGTTGCTTACTACGCCCTCCAGAACTGTTACAAGAGTCTCAAAGTCTGCGTTACTGTTAATATTTTCTCCACTTTATTTATTTTTAGAGAGAGGGGAAGGGAAGGAGAAATGGAGGGAGAGAAACATCAGTCGGTTGCCTCTCGCATGCCCCCAGATAGTGACCTGGCCCACAGCTCAGGCATGTGCCCTCTGTCTGGTAATGGAACCCACAACCTTTTGGTTTGCAGGCCGGTGCTCAAGCCACTGAGCCACACCATCCAGGGCTAAATACAATTCTTGCTAAATGTTAAATGTAGAATAGCATTTTGGAAATAAGCTCTAAACAGGATAAGATTGATAGGAGCGCAACCTGATAAATGTAGCCAACTGCAAAGAAGTCAACATGTAATTGACCAAATAGTGTTTATTAACAATGGCTAAGTCTCCCTTCTTGCAAACAACTTTTGATGTGAATCCTGCCTCCTTTACATGCTACAAGTAAATAAAACTGCCTTGCTGCAACCACATTTCATATTTTAATAGAACACCCCAAGTGGTGGACCCCTTGAGTTCAGTAACAAACTACAAGTCCTGCTGCCAAACTGCAAGTCATCCCTCACCCTTCTGTCTGTACTGCTCAGGGTCCTTGAAGAAATGGTGTAGAGCAGGGGTCATGTACCTTTTGGGGTGCTTTGGCTCCTGTGAGAAGCTGATAACTCAGAAACCTCTTCCCAGGAAAACACTTACGCAGGCAGACTCAGTATTATATATATATTCAAGGGCTCTAACAAGAACCCCTGTTTCCCAGCCTCCTGGTGTCCTTCCAGTGTGACCTCTGACCAGGAACTGAACCCACAACCCTTTGGTGAACAAGACAACACTCCAACTGAGTCACCTGGCCAGGGCCTGCTGTCTTATTTTTAAGACTTCCTATAAACTTCCTCTGTGGAAGCAATGAGTATAAAATTTTTGGGTAGCAGGAAAGCAATGGGAAGTGGGCTATCACACCTGAACTAGGTTTGGCAGCTTTTCCCACGTAGTACCTGGTAGCAGCTAACATCCCAGGGAGCACAGAGGGAACCCCCCTAAGCGGCCCTGAGGCAGCCGAAACTGCTGGCCTCACAGTCTGTTCAACAAGGCACTTCCTTGGGACTCAGTACCCTGCAGGAGCCACACTTCAACCTTCCTGCATTGTCAGATGAGCCAGTGCATAATTTGTGCACATCCGTGCCTCAGAGATTTTGTTGTGGGTTATAATTCATAATCTAGCCCTGTCCACAAGGTCACATCTACTAGGAAATGAACTGTTTGTATTCAATGTCATCAAAATCGTAACTCCACACTAGGACATTATGGAGAAGCCCCTTGGCTTATTAAAACAAGAAGACCTTAATTCGGACCTACATCACAACCCATATGCACAGACCAAACTTGGGCCTCATAATCTTACCCTTCTGTTGCTTTAAAAAATAAAGTATGTAGCTTGCACACATAAGGAGTTCTGACCTTGCGGCTCGTTGTTGAAAAGAAGTGGTGATGTGGGGAAACTTGATAAGATAATATTTAGTTGGGACTGTACAGTAGCAAATAACAAACACCAAGTATGATAAAGCAAAAAAAGAAAAACAGAATGTAAATACAGATACAGGTGTGCCTGTCAGTTCACAGACAGGGCCTGACAAGCAAACTAGCAGAGGAAGCAGGGACTCAAAGTGGGTTGCTTCCCATCTGTGCCCCGATTCTTTCCCCTTTCACCTCAGCATCCCCTGAATATAGCTCAGGGCAAAAGCATTGACAGTGACCGGCCTCAAACCCAGATTCTCAAGGAAGGGATTCCAGTTGGCCCAGTTTAGGAGAGGTGCTCTGAACAATCATCTGAAGCCAGGAATTGGAGTTGAGGGAGGCAAGTTGAGTTGTATAACTAAGGCTGCTCCCAAAACATGCTTGTGGGTGCCAGAGGGAGAGAGGTGGCAATCCCCAGATGCAGGTGCTAGACAGGCAACTCAGGAAGCGTTTGCCAGAGGCCAAATTCAGGCTCAACTCAGGAATGCAGGCAGAGGGAATTTTTAGTTTGCTTCTGAAGCCACTCAAAGTTGCCAGTCTGATTCACTGTCATTGTTCTTAATTTGTCCCATTAACTATGTGTGTGTAAACATGACTGTTAATAAACTACTGAAATGTTTCAGTGTCAGTAAATTTTATAATAGTAACTGCAATGAGAGATAAAAGTAATTACCAATGTACACTTTAATACTATAAACTTAGTTTATCAGCCAAAAGCTGTAGGATGCTCCAATGATAGAGGGATCTTTGTGAGAGTAAGCATGAGAAACATTCACAGCCCAGTCTCCTGGGCAGCGAAGACAAATTCCAATTCTGAACTTTATGAGGATCACCAATTTGTTATGTTCAAATCATATCATCATTGTGTGGCTTCAATTTGGGGTCCATTCTTTCTACTGTAATTACACTGCTGATACTTTGAAATACTTGTGAATAGTTAGTGTGCACAGCTTTGATTCATATATCCATGAATTGGTAATAAAATATGGAAATAAAATATAAAATAAAGAGACAACAAAGTTTAGATATATTTCTTAAACATTTTAGAAAATAGCATAACCATAAATTTTCTGAATCATAAATAAACCTTTTGAAATTTTATCAAAAATAAACTATAAACTATTTTTCTGAAACTATGATAATATGAGAACAGCAAGGGACATTTTTTATATTGTGCAAAAATCGGTATCAAATTTTCATTTATAAAATAAAAAGTTTTATTTCAAACAAAAATAGAAGTAACTTATTTTTACTGTTGCTATATCTGTTAGACACAAACAGTGCTCAAAACTTGAATCACTAAAAGTTAAAACTGCTAAGTGCATATTTCATAGGAATGGTCACAATGCTGTGTTAATGCTAAGAGTAGAAATAAAGAATAATTACAAACATTAGTGAGATAAATTTCAAAAAATATCATGAGTCAGTTTCCCAAATAAAACAACAAAAATATTAAAACTGTTAAAAGAACTATTTTACTAATGTGACAATAAAGAAAATTAAAACATTTTTAAATTTTAAAAAATTTTTATGCAAAAATTTAAACATTCTATTGCATGGTTTAAAAAGGACACAACACCTTCAGCCATAATGGATTTATTAGAACTTTGAAAAAGATTAATCAGTATTAATGTAACATTGCAAGGTAGATTTAAGCTCCCTCTTCTAAAGCACATGCCTACTGAAAGTAGAAAACTGTCCCAGGTAAGTTCTCCAGGAACAGATGCTGACCTGGAACTGGGGTGTTAAATGATTACTGCAGATCAACGTCATGACAGGAGGGGGTTGGAAGCAAGACTGGCAGAAAAAGAACAGTAATGCTGGTTTGACCAGGCCTGGGCCACCCTAGCAGAAAGCTCTAGCAGGATTCAGCTCAGGATGGCTGTGAATTCAGCCCAACACAAAATCGTAAATTTACTTAAAACATTATGAGATTTTTTTGTGATTACATGTCCCAATGTATTTAATGTGTGGCCCAAGACAACTCTTCTTCTCCCAGGGTGGCTCAGAGATACCCAAAGGTTGGACAGCCCTGTGAGCAAAACATCAGAGTTGACCTGCATTGAGCCAGTGTCCCAGCTCACTCACTTGCCTGATGGGCCTGCCCAGGGGGGTGTTGCATCACCCTACCTTGAGCACCCTAGGCAGCTCTCTGGGACTGAGGCCCCTAAGGGGCAGAGAACTGGAGGCTGACCATACTTCTTCCCTAACTGGGCCTTATGTCTTTCTCCCACGGGGTATGGGCAGCACAACTCAGAGGCAATTGCAACAACTTTTTGGAAAACTTAGAAGTCAGGCTGTAAAATTCCTATCATTAGCTATGAATGACAGGTCTGTTGTTTCACATAAAAGTATCTTAATACTTTTAAAGTGCAAAATAGAAGATTTGGAAGATCATTTAGTGGGTCTTGCAGATTAGGTGGAGCAAGCATGAATAACATCTAAAATCATATCTTAGCCCTGACTGGTTTGGCTCAGTTGGTTGGGCATCATCCCACCAGGAAAAAGGTCACTGGTTCAATTCCCAGTCAGGGCACATGCCTGCGTTACAGATTCAGTCCCTGGTCAGGGCATGTATGAGAGACAACCAATCAATGTATGTCTCCCATATTGATGTTTCTCTCCCTCTCTTTCTCCCTCCCTTT